TATCTCATTGATATCGAGAAATACAGTTAAATGTAAAGTAACGTCTGTTTTTTTAATATTTTTTTTGTTCTGATAATATGAAAGATTACCATACCAACTGATCATACCAGTTTACTTCAACGTTTTTAAGACTTGAATAAAAAATGATACTTCCCCGTCAGCTAATGTATCCTAAAAAACGATTTCCATATTTATGTTATAAGAAATGGAGTGAATGAATTGATAGTGATAGCAACTGGTCAGGTTTATCGTTGATAATTCTCAACAACATACTTAAAATATCAATGAATATCACTTGGTCATGAGTCATTCATTTTTAATTGAGTGAATGGTACTAATAGTGACAATTAACTAGCTTTTGTGGTCATGCACTAAACCTCAGTTGGAAAAGGTCGGATTTTGAAATACATAGATGCTTAATTTCCTTTTTTTCCCATTGACAAAATACTCTGCCAAAACTACCAGAGTTCGTATTAATTTCAGGGAAAAGATGGGATATATGTTCAGTTGGCACATATGAAATTCGGATTATTTATAAATCATTATTTACAAATGTTTACAGTCGATTTAACTACAATGTATATGAACTGTTTATAGAAACCTCGCCGATAGTCAAGACAAATATGATGTGCATACATTATTTTTTTAAACTCACAGTCAATTAATTATGAATAATTAATTTTCTTTTCAATAACAATTTTTTTTCTACAGTGAACTTTCCTTTTTGGCCACTATACATAGCATCTGACATTTATTTTGTTAATTGTTATTGTTTATATGTAGTATAGTTTCATGTATAATGATAAACGTATATACATACTTCGGTTATGATATTTAAGTGTTGTACATATTTTTCCAGAAGTTTGAGCGATAACAGTCTGACATTTATCAGAAACGACACTTTCGAAAATCTTACTAACATAAAATATCTGTAAGTACAAATATTAGCAATGATTTCATAATTTAGAGAATTCCTTATACATGTTATATTTGAAGTAGGTAATGTAAATACGTTATGTATACATCAAAAAGTCTTATTCGAGACTACATGACCCCATTTCCTGTCCGGAGAGGGACACCTTGCATCCCCTTACGCGTTCTGTATATTCTTAGACCCCTTCACATATAATGTAGCTTGTGTGTTTCTCTTCAAAATGAGCAATTGCCGTCGTTTTTACAAATCACTTCATGACGCGGTATAAGATATTGATATTTTCATATTTCTTCTGCGTCGTCTTTAATTATGATAGTAATAGATTTAACGTTTGTATTGACTAATTTGTTGGTTAGTGTGGTTTTTATTATTTATGACAGATACTTAAACCTGTCGTTGTTCAGAGCTTGTTTATTGAATATGCATACCTACACGCTTTCAAATTAAAATCAGATCATAAACATTTTATCGAAAACCACATCTTAACATCTTGCATTAACAGAATTCTACTTCAAAGAGATTTCAGTGTTAACATACAGTTGGTGTAATATTGGCTACGGTAGTTCTATCAAGAGTTATAATTGCATATCAAATCAAAAATAATGTTATTATATAATCACTATTCTATTAATAAAATGTTTTCCTAGAATTCTTTGATTCGCTTTTATAGGGATTACTTAAAACAAATGAGGCAGACTTTTTGCGAGTCTGCTTTGACTGGTGAAAAATAACCATATGTGATCAGAATTTTTAATTGTTTTTTGTGTGTATAATCTAAAGGGTTTGGTTATCATAGTTGAGGTGTTAAAAGGATAAGGTAAAAAGTATGTTAACAAAATACCGAAATCTAGAAATAAACCATAAATCAGTTAAAAGTAAAATAACAAAACTACCGAACTCCAAGAAAAAATTCAAAACGGAAAGTCCATTATCAATTGGCAAAATTAAAAGCTCAAATATATCAAACGAATGGAAAACAACTGTGGTGTTCCTGACTTGGTACAGGCATTTCCTTATGTAGAAAATGTTGGATTAAACCTGGTTTTATAGCTAGCTTAACCTCTCACTTGTATGACAGTCACATAAAATTCCATTACATTGACAACAATATGTAAAAAAACAAACAGACATTATAGGTTAAAATGTCAAAAATAGGGGTACAATAGTCAACATTGTGTTATAATTCTACTCACTATAAAACAAACAAATATGTCAACAAAGAAAAACAAAATGGCATAAAGACAAATCACATAAGCAAAAATGAAAGACAAAAATACAAAAAAACCATTGCACAATAACACTATGGCGGTATGTATAAGTACCGAGCCACTCCGAAAGGATATTACCAAAAAAGGACTAAACAGTAAAGGTTAATAATTTACAAAGACAAATAAAAGAACAATACACGTCTTGAGTATTTCGGTTTCTAATTCCGTTTTAATTGGCGTCGTAACAGACAACAACATATAACCAAGCTTATACTTTAATATCTGTTAAACCATATCCTCTTATAACTTCATAGTATTCCAGAAAACAAATCTGCTGCTATGAGTGACTATTAAAATAAACAAATACATAGACTCATAAGGACTGAAGACATGTGTTTGGCAAAGGATGAAAGGATACAATCAATCCACTAAAATACGATAAATTTGACTTATTTTAATATCTACTAAAAAAAAAAGGCAGTAGATACAAATCCATGTGCATTCCACTATGTTTAATAAGACGAGTGTTACAATGCAACATAGAAAATGTTTGGTGGACACGGACGTAATAATCATCCGTTCGTAAGGATATAACAATCATTTGCGACACATTTTTCTTTCAAGCATACTGTTTCATCCAATAGATTACGATACGAAAGAACGTGTTGTCGTAGCAAATTTCACGCAAGTCTTTTTTTCACACAAATATACTGTGTTTCATTTGACCTTTATTATTTTGTTTGCGATTCGACGAATCTTTTGTTGACAAAACGCGTGTCTGGAATTCAAAATTTATATACTGGTATCTATGATGAGTTGTTGGAGGAAATAATCAAGTAGTTCATTAGAAAACAATCTGTTAATGTAGCCTGTTTGAACATCTGTAAACTATTGTTGCCTATATTTAAGTTGTTAATCGACTGGCGTCATGATCACACCGTTATCATTATACAATATTTAACAAAACTAGATACATCTTCACATATCAATGATAATAAACAATTTGCATATAATATATTATATATTAATCATAAACATTATATTTTTTTCAGATATTTATACAATAACCAAATAACTACAATACAACAAGGAGCATTTCAACACCTACAAGCGTTATACTACCTGTATGTTTACATTGTTTTGATAATTTATCAAGACGAAAATGAAAACTTAATCTAAACTCAATCAGTGACAAACCATGTTTACTATTATTAATGAATACGATATATTGAAATCTGCCGTCCATAAATGTAACGGTTGTTGCCCCATTTGATTAGACTGAGCAGCATGTATTAATAAGCGAGAATGTTAATACAATTCAAAATGAAAGAGCAAAGAAAACCAAAACTGTGACACATGTTAATGAATTTCAGATAGTATGGTCCATAGGCTGTAAAAGAGATCGACAAAACCTTTGCAAAACCGAAAAACGACTGTCTACAAAACAAAGCATCGACCCAGTGGTTGAAAATAAACTCATCATTGATACCAAGATTACAAAAAAATTATGTGTGAGCAAAATGAACTATGCACAAAAATATGTTGATTATCTACATCATGCAGAGCTCTCATTCCTTGTTATATGATATTGTTAAATAGAGTTTGGTTTTGAAAGCGTTAATTTGATTGCATTCCATTAGTATTAGTGTCATAATTCTAGGTAGACATAGAATAGTGGATACTGAAATTATAATAATTTTTCGATAAGGACAAGAAATTCATTTGCCACACATTTTGCAATCAAGAAAAAATTTTAAATCCATAAGTTACGATACCAATAACGTGTTGTAGCAAATATCACGTAAGTTGTGTTTTACACGATAATACACTGTATTGTATTTGGCCTGGTATAACTTTCTTGATTTGGGCGTTGCTCATAAGTCTATTGCAGACGAAACGAGCGTCTGGTGAACACAATTTAAACTTGGTATATATAATGATTTCATATTAAACAACTCATTTAACAAACTTTGCTTTAAAAGAATTAATAATGATCAAATAGAAAATTTGAAAAAATCTTCCAATGTGGCTTGTTTAAACATCTGTAAACTACTCTTGCCTATATTTAAGTTGTTAACTGTCTGGCGTCATTGCGTCATAGTCACACCAATATCATTATATAATATTAATCAAATATTTATAGATATTCACATACCAATGAATATTTATAGGTTTCATAATGAGTAAGAATTGGATATCGCTTCATATCAACTCAAATTATTTAATTTCAATATAATAATAAACGAGCCTTCGGAGAGTTTATTTTTAATATTTGAATTAAATAACGACAGATGATATCAAGCGATATCCAATTATCACCTATTTCTCTTATGGTAGACACTTTTATTGTGTTGAATTAAAAAATCCTAGAATCATTGATCTAGTCTTTTGTCATATGTCCTGTTCCAGCGTCAAACTTTAACACTAGACATTTTAAAACTTTTTGTACGCTTCAGAATGTAATGAAATATGACAAAAAGAAGATTTTCAGGTGAAAAGTGTAAGTGTTTTGTGTATCGTTGAAGAAATCGCATATGTCCGTTGCCATGGATGAAATGTACATCGTCTTAACCATTGAAAACCATCTATGACCTAATGAATAGCCAATGGAAAGGTCGTGATGCTGGATAAGCCAATCAAATTAAAGCAGCTTTCGTATCACTCTTTCGTATCACACTCCGTGTAGTTTGATAAGAAAAATATCTTTTCAAGGAAGAAATAGATAACAAGCCACAACCATAAGAGAAGAACAATTTCCTTAGTGTAAAATGTATGAAACATTACCATTATTTTGTTTCAGGTATTTGTACAGCAATCAAATTACTTCAATACAGCAAGGATTATTTCAAAACCTAACAGCTATAAACCGTCTGTATGCATACATTTTTACAATATTTATCAAGATGAAAATGAAAACTGAATCTTAACAAAAGCAGTAGTAGACTTGGTTTACTATTATCAATGATTACTATACATGGAGTTCTGTCAGCAAAATGAACCAAACAAAAACATGTTGATTATCTATCTCATGCAGAGCTCTCATTCCTTGTCTTCTTTTGGGATATACTTTCGGTTATATCAGCTTGTTAACGTTTAACACATGTTTAAACTAGGTGTTTGTTATTTTCATATATTTTGTTCTGGAAAATGAATGTAAATAAATTTATTGTCGTAAGGCTAATCTGGCGGAGTAAAATCATGGTTTAGTGCAATTGCTCGGTAAGTTGTTTAATACGGGTTTGGTATTAATAACGATAATCTGATTGCATTCCATGAGTTTTTAATAAGTAGAAGAGTGTTACAAAACTAGGTAGATAAAACATAGTGAATACCGAATTAAGAATTATTCATTGATACGGATAAAGAATGCACTTGCCATACGTTACCAAATAACGTGTTGTCAAAGCCAATTTGACGTTTGTTGCCTTTTACTCAATAATGAATTGAACTATTTTTATTCAAGCGTTGCTGATGAGTCTTTTGCAGATGAAAAACGCGTCTGGCGTCTAAGATTTGAATCCTAATATCTATGACGAGTTTTTATTAAACAACTTATTAAAAACACTTTGTTTTTAAATATTGAAGAATGATCAATTAGTTCATTAGAAAATAATCTGTCAATGAGGTCTGTTTGAACATCTTCAAACTGTTGTTGCCTATCTTGAAAATTGTTAACTGACTGGCGTCATTGTCGCATCAATGTAAATATACAATTTTTATCAAAACTAGATAAATCTTCATATATCAGAAATACAACATACAATTTTCTTAGAGTAATATATGAGATGCGTTGGATAGAATCGACCTTATGTCAATGAATATAAATACCTTTGTTGACTAGTTTCGGGTTCAACAAATTTCTATGTAATGTCTGTAACTTTTTTGTATTGCGTTGATATAAGAAACAAAACACACCACAATTCATCTTTTATTTCGTATTTGAATGATTCAAAAACGATCAAAGTCTTATGCATCTACATGTAAACGTGCATTTGCAGAAGATCAATTTCTGTCAGACACCGCTCATGTATAAAACAGTACCAGGGTTTTTTTTTCTTCAGATATCTGTACAACAATCAAATAACTGCAATACAACAAGGAACATTTCAAGACCTTCCAGCGCTGGACCGTCTGTATGTATACATTGTTTTTATATTTTATCATAAAGAAAAATAAATATAACCAAACTCAATCATTGATAGACTAGGTTTACTATCAATGTTAACGATATATGGAGTTTTTAAGAAGACGAGTGTAACAGTGATAGGCTGACAAGAATATGGGATACGGAAGTTATAATCATTCATTATTCCAAATTTGCCACGCGATTTGCATTCATGACATAGTAAATAAACACATCATATACACTAGGATTTAATCTGTGTATGCCAGATGCGCGTTTTGTGTTAAGAAACACACCAGTGAAACTCGAAAAAAAAATATTAAAAGGCCAAATAAATTAAGAAGTTGAAGAAATCTGAGGACCCAAATTTTCAAATGTGATGCCAAATAAAGCTGAGGTAATCTATTCCTTTAGTAGCAAATCCTTAGTTTTTCGAAAAATTAAAGGTTTTGTAAACAGTCAATTCATAATTATGACAATATCAACAATAGATCATGTGAACACAGAAGTGCTGACTACTAGGCTGATGATCACCTCAAGGAGGAAACCTCAATCAGTAGTGTCATCGACCAAGTGGTAGAAAAAAAATCATTGATGCCAGGATTAAGAAAAACTTAAATCTGAGCAAAATTAACCAAACACAAAACATGTTGATCATCTACCTCATACAGAGCTTTCATTCCTTGACAGAAATCGACCTTATGTCAATGAATATAAATACCTTTGTTAACTAGTTTCGGGTTCAACAAATTTCTATGTAATGTCTGTAACTGTTTTGTATTGAGTTGATATAAGAAACAAAACACACCACAATTCATCTTTTATTTCGTATTTGAATGTTTCAAAAACGAGCAAAGTCTTATGCATGTACATGTAAACGTGCATTTGCAGAAGATCAATTTCTATCAGACACCGCTCATATATAAAACAGTACCAGGGTTTTTTTTTCTTCAGATATCTGTACAACAATCAAATAACTGCAATAGAACAAGGATCATTTCAAGACCTTCCAGCGCTGGACCGTCTGTATGTATACATTGTTTTTATATTTTATCATAAAGAAAGAAAAATTAATATATCCAAACTCAATCATTGATAGACTAGGTTTACTATCAATGTAAACGATATATGGAGTTTTTAAGAAGACGAGTGTAACAGTGATAGGCTGACAAAGAATATGGGATACGGAAGTTATAATCATTCATTATTCCAAATTTGCCACGCGATTTGCATTCATGACATAGTAAATAAACACATCACATACACCAGGATTTAATCTGTGTATGCCAGATGCGCGTTTTGTCTAAAGAAACACACCAGTGAAACTCGAAAAAAAAATATTAAAAGGCCAAATAAATTAAGAAGTTGAAGAAATCTGAGGACCCAAATTTTCGAATTGGATGCCAAATAAAGCTGAGGTAATCTATTCCTTTAGTAGCAAATCCTTAGTTTTTCGAAAAATTAAAGGTTTTGTAAACAGTCAATTCATAATTATGACAATATCAACAATAGTTCATGTGAACACAGAGGTGCTGACTACTAGGCTGATGATCACCTCAGGGAGGAAACCTCAATCAGTAGTGTCATCGACCAAGTGGTAGAAAAAAAATCATTGATGCCAGGATTAAGAAAAACTTAAATTTGAGCAAAATTAACCAAACACAAAACATGTTGATCATCTACCTCATACAGAGCTTTCATTCCTTGTCATTTTTACAATATTTGATCAAGAAGAAAATGAAAACTAAATCTAAACAAAAGCAGTGTCAAACTAGGTTTAGTTTGATCAATGATAACGATATATGGAGTTGTGCTGTCCTCAAACCGTTACGGTTGTTGCCCTAGTTGGTTTGACTGTGTAGCTTATATTAATAAGCGAGAATGTCAAAACAAATTTCAAATCTCAAACAGAAGACCCAAAGATATGACACTTGCTGGTAAATTTGAGATTGTACATAGGTCGTCGAAAATACGACATACCCATGGCAAAAACGAAAAGCTACTGTCTACAAAACATGACATAGTATATAAACATATCACAGACACCAGCGGCTCTTTTCACAAAAAATCTTAAGAGTAAAAATACTCGTAAGTCATACACATTTCAGTATAACTTACGATCAATTGAAATCGTAAGATTTATTGTGAAAAGAGTCGCAAGATTACAATTTTGTACGCCACACGCGCGTTTTGTCTAAAAACAAAACACATTTGACACTCGAATTAAAAATATTAAAAAGGCTAAATAAAGCACGAGGTTGAAGAACACTGACAACCAAGATTTCCGAAATGATCCCAAATAAAACTAAGGTTATCTATTTTTTGTGTATCAAGTCCTTAGTTTTTTTCGAAAATTAAAAGTGTTATAAACAGTCAATTTATAATTATGACTACATCAACAATAATGCATGTCAACACAGAGGCGCTGACTACTATGCTGATGATACACCAGTAAGGAAACCTCCATCAGTGGTGCATCGACTAAGTGGTAGTACCAAAAACGTAAGTCTGAGCAAAATGAACCAAATGAAAACATGTTGATTATCTATTTCATGCAGAGTTCTCATTCCTTGTCTACTTTTGGGATATACTTTAGGTTATATCAGTTTGGCAACGTTTAAACTAGGTGTTTATTATTTTCATATATTTTGTTCGGGAAAATGAATGTAAATAAACTAATTGTCGTAAGGCTAATCTGGCGTTAAAAATCATGGTTTAGTGCAATTGCTTGGTAAATTGTTTTATACGGGTTTGGTATTAATAACGCTAATTTGATTGCATTCCATGAGTATTTAATAAGTAGAAGAGTGTAACAATACTAGGTAGATAAAACATAGTGAATACCGAATTAATAATTATTCATTGATACGGATAAAAAAGGCACTTGCCATACGTTACCAAATAACGTGTTGTCGTAGCCAATTTTACGTTTGTTGCCTTTTACTCAATTATGAATTAAACTTTCTTTATTCAAGCATTGCTGATGAGTCTTTTGCAGATGAAAAACGCGTATGGCGTCCAAGATTTGAATCCTAATATCTATGACGAGTTTATATTAAACAACTTATTAAAAGCACTTTGCTTTCAAATATTGAAGAATGATCATATAGTTCATTAGGAAATAATCTGTCAATGAGGTCTGTTTGAACATCTGTAAACTGTCGTTGCCTATATTGAAAATTGTTAACTGACTGGCGTTATTGGCACATCAATATAAATAATCAATATTTATCAAAACTAGATAAATCTTCATTTATCAGAAACACAAAATCAATATACAATTTTCTTAGTGTAAAAGTAATATATGAGCTGCGTTGGATAGAAATCGACCCTATGTAAATGAATATAAATACCTTTGTTAACTAGTTTCGGGTTTAACAAATTTCTATGCAAAGTCTGTAATTGTTTTGTATTGAGTTGATATAAGAAACAAAACAGACCACATTTCATCTTTTATTTCGTATTTGAATGTTCCAAAAGCAATCAAAGTCTTATGCATGTACATGTAAACGTGCATTTGCAGAAGATCAATTTCTATCAGACACCGCTCCTATATAAAACAGTACCAGGGTTTTTTTCAGATATCTTTACAATAATCAAATAACTGCAATACAACAAGGAACATTTCAAGACTTTCCAGCGCTTGACCGTCTGTATGTATTTTTAGTAGCAACAAACAAAAAAACTATGTCAATTGATATTATATCTGCCCTTGAATTTTTATTTGATAACATTTTTGGAGATTCCGTATTTCGTCAAGTTATCGGAGTTCCAATGGGGACTAACTGTGCACCACTTATTGCAGACCTGTTTTGTATTGTTATGAGTTACAATTTATGACTAAAATCAGCAAAGGCCCATCGAAACAACATCTGATACAAAAATTTAACAATACGTTTAGATATTTGGATGATATATTGGCTCTCAATAATGACGACTTCAGTATGTATACTATAGAAATTTATCCTGTTGAACTTACTTTCAATAAAGCTAATACTAACAATGACCACTGTCCTTTCCTCGATCTTGATATCTATATCATTAACGGGAAGCGTAATACAAAAATTTATGATAAAAGAGATGATTTTTCATTTCCTGTCGTTAATTATCCATTTTTAGATGGTGACGTTCCCTTGTCGCCATCTTATGGTGTTTATATATCTCAACATCGATTCGCTCGTGTATGTAACAACGTATTAGATTTTAGCGAGAGAAATTTGTGTATTACTGAAAAATTATTACACCAGGGTTTTCGATATCATAAACTAGTCAAAACATTTACTAAATTTTATCATCGGTATAAGGACATCATTCGTAAATATAACTCAACATGCAGATATCTTATACGTTCGGGTATTTCACATCCAATCTTTTATGGTAATATTCTTTACAAAGCACAAAAATGTCAGTATTCACCTCAAAAGCTAACAAAACCTTTAAACAGACTTATTAAGAAAGGATATAGTTACGATACTGTTGTCAGGTCATTAAAGATTGCATATTTTGGCTTTAATATTAATTCACTTATAGGGTCTTTGCATCGGAATTAAACACATTTATTCTAAAACCAGTTGTTGGCATGACACGGGTTATGTTCTTCTCATATATTTTATGACGGTATAATACTAAACCCCGAACAGGAGGGATTGTCCCTGATCTTCATATGATGAAGACATAATCTTTTAATCAGTTTAAAAAAGGGACGAAAGATACCAGAGGGACAGTCAAACTCATAGATCGAAAACAAACTGACAACGTCATGGCCAAAAATAAAAAGACAAACAGACAAATAACAATACAGATGACACAACATAGAAAACTAAAGAATTAGCAACACGAACCCCACCAAAAACTGGGGTTGATCTCAGGTGCTCCGGAAGGGTAAGCAGATCCTGTTCCACATGCGGCACCCGTCGTGTTGCTTATGTTATTACAAATCCGGTAAATAGTCTAATTCGGTAAGTCACATTCGTGAAAAGGGAAGGGTATTGTAGTTACGACATATCCGAT